CCAGTTGAGGCAATTTTCCTCTTTTTTTTTCTGGACCCAAACCACCAACCTTTATTTTGTTTGTTCAAAACCCAGCTAATTGGGGCGGCAGAGCAGATTGCCGTGCCTCAGCTGTTTTTAGTGCTTTTAACACTGCTTGTAATGGTCTTTTCTTATGGACTCTTTGTGTGCGCACAGCACGCGCTCAGCGAACCGGTTGTTACACTGGTTGAATCCCACCACTGGAGTTAGCTATGGATTTGGTAAAGACCGAATCTCCTTTTATCTGTTAAAATTTCAGTATTGCTAAAATTGTTTACAAAAGAGATGCTCTTTTATTCTTTGCTTAAGAGTTTAATACCTTACCATATTTTTCGGAGTATAAGACGTACCTTTTTCTCCCAAAAAAGAGGGTGAAAATCTGGGTGCGTCTTATTCTCTGAATGTAGCGCCGCCCAGCTTCTCAAACAGAGATTTCAGAGGCTGAAAAAAGCATCAGAAATGAAGCTTCAGAAAAGAAACCTCCAAACAGAGTTTCAGAAAAGAAGCCCCCAAACAGAGCTTCAAAGGCTTTTTTTTCTGAAGCTCTGTTTCGGAGGCTTTCAGAGGCAGGAAAAAAAGTTTTTTCTGAAACAGAGTTTCAGAAGTTTCAGAGACGCAAAAAAAAAAAAAAAAAAAGCAAGGCACAGAGCTCACAACCAAGGAACCTATTGCTAAAATTCACCTCTGGGAACAGCTGATTGGGGGTATTCCAGGAGGCCAATCCACCTGCTAATCAGCTTATTTCTTATTTTCCTCCCCAAAAACTAAGGTGCATTTTATAATCCGAAAAATACGGTAACTACTGATTTTGTGTTGACTTAAAAATAGTTGACCTAGTCATTACAATTAAACATATCAGATTATCGAAAAACCATTCCTTATACATGCCTTCGTTTGTTCACATTCTTAAACCACAATGATTTAGCTGAAATGCAGTGGCTGTTTTCCGTAGTCTAATTATTATCTGCCCTATCTTTCCAATGGCATTTGTTGAATGCTGACATTAATTGAACTCTCCAAGCTAAAATTATCCTGCTTAATAGATGCCATTGATTCAAACGTTTTGTTTATTATCCCCTCATTTAGCATCTTTATCTCTGTCAATATATTTGTTCTAAAATAAGAACCTTACCTCCTTGCTCCTATTCATCACAGACTATGCCAGGAAAGTAAATCTGCTTCCTGGTTTTGGTTCAGACAAAGCCACCTTGATTTTTCCAAAATAATAATAATAATACTACAGATTTTCATTTGAGCTAGGACAACCATTTTTTTAAAAAAAAGTTTTTATTTTATAAACACGCATACATATATAATATATATGTATATATTATATATATACATATATAATCAATCAATCAGTGTATCATCTGAATACATCTTTTTTCCTGATATTATCATTTCATTTGTTGTAACATTTTCCCCACATTTATCAACAATTTTATCCCAACCCAACCCAACCCTCCCCCCCTCCCCACCCCGACTTCCCAGAGCAAAAACAGGGTATAACATTTAACAAGCAAAAGCTAAAATATACTAACCTACTACAAAGTTTAAAACTCCCTCACACTCTTTAACTCCTCTTTTGCAAATTCATCAACCTCCCTTTTGTAAATTCTCAAAATCAGTTAGATTGAATTCTTTCTTCCTGAATATAAGAGTCTTTTTCTTGGTATGTAATCCAATAACTTTAACAATATTACAAGCATCAACAAACATTGATAAATTTCATTTTCCTCCCTCAAACACCTTTCTTCTTCAACATTGCTCCCTAATAAGATTCTAAATTAAATATTTATCCTCTTTATTCCTTCATAAACCAATTATCAATTTCTAACTATTCAACATTAAAAATTCTAAATTAAACATTTTAAAACTTTAAACATTTTATCACCTATACCTTTTAAAATAATATAATCTTATATTAAACATTTTAAAAAACCTCTTAATACATCAATAAGACCTTCTTAGTTCATTCCTCAAAATATAAATTTCAAAACCTTCAGGAAACTATCCCTTAAATTTTTAATTAACCATTTCTATATTTTTTGCAGTCCTTCTTCCTCAATCCACATTGCTCCCTAATAAAGTTCTAAATTAGGCATTTATCCTCTTTAATCCTTCATAAAATTAAACATTTTAAAACTAAACATTTTATCTCATATACCTTCTTAAAATACTATAATCTTAATAGGAGTATAAAAAATAACCATTTCTTATACTCCTGACTGGCACTGTTCTACTTCACATATTCCCAGGGTTGTATGGATACCACAAGTTCTGCTTGAAGGTCCGGATTCATTCCATGTCATGATGATGTTTTGTGAAAAGTACTTTACGCCTTTTCAGATTCTTGGATTTTGTGTGCGTGTATCTTTGTGACCAAATGTTATTAAAGCTGCCATAAACACTTGTCAACATCCAACATGCCTTTCAAAGTCATCAAACATGCAATGTGCCAGAAAGGGAAAGCACTGCCACATTAAATTATTATTAGATTATTGGTTGCAACAACTTTAGTCGCAATTATAGCCACCAGCTACTTCCTGTAACACATAAATCACATCAGAGGAAGGAAGGTTTACTTTGACTCAGCAATATTTCATAGAATCCTAGAGTTTGAAGTGACCTCGGAGGTCTTCTAATCCAACCCTTTGCCCATCCCTGACAAATGGCTGTTTTGAAGCCTGAACTGCTCCTTTCTGATCTTGCTTCAACATTTCAACCAGGTTTAGGTCTTGACTGTAACACAGCCATTCCAAAACTATGGTTTGCTCTTCTTCATCCCTTTTCATTAGACTTGTTTGCATGTCCGGGATCATTTGTTGTTGGGAGAACCCATCTTAGAGTAGAATAGAATAGAATTCTTTATTGGCCAAGTGTGATTGGACACACAAGGAATTTGTCTTTGGTACAGGGGTGCTATTTAGCAGGTTCTGGAGAACCGGTAGTGGAAATTTTGAGTAGTATGGAGAACCGGCAAATACCACCTCTGGCTGGCCCCAGAGTGGGGTGGGAATGGAGATTTTGCAATATCCTTCCCCGTGGAGTGGGGTGGGAATGGGGATTTTGCAGTATCCTTCCCCTGCCACGCCCACCAAGCCACACCACGCCCACCAAGCTACGCCCACAGAACCGGTAATAAAAAAATTTGAATTCCACCACTGCTTTGGTATATATTCTTAGTTATAATATATATTTGGTGTATCTCCTTAGTCTACAGTGGTGAAATCTTTCCTGGTTTGCCTCCGGTTCGCTGCTGGCGCATGCACGGTGCATGCCAAATGCACATTGTGTGTGCAGTGCTCGCCAAACGCATGCACAGTGCGCGCTAAATGCACGCTGTGTGCACATGCATGCACAGTATGGGCCAAACGTGCGCTGTGCATGGAAAAAGGAGGCTTGGGAAGGTAAGTAGAACAGCGAAGGGGGGAACAGCTGTGCCGCGCAATTTAGATTCACTAGAAAGCAGGATTTCCTGCTTTCTAGCGATTTTAAATCGCGCGGCACAGCTGATCATCGGAAATACTGTTTCGGAGGAATCGGTAGCTTTTATCACTACCGGTTCACCCGAACTAGTGCGAACCGGTAGGATTTCACCACTGGTCTACAGACACATTCTGTCCAAGGAGCACCTACAAATCTTGCGTAAATCCAGACCTTGATTTGGGCTTTTACTTGGCCCCTTCTCCCTTCTTACAATGTGGATAATCACCAGCCTGACCACAATAAGCCCAGATTCTAGTTTTCTCTTCAAAACTCACACAAGAAAATCAAGAATACTCTTTCCTGTATCAGAGAAAAAAAAAATCAGTAAACAACACATCTTTGTTTACAAAGGGACTAAGTAATTTATGAAAATATAGCCCACTATCTACCCAAATTGCTCATAGGACATAAATGTCTTAAGAAAGACCATTCTTCGTTTCTATTTTTTTTTTTTTTTTTTTGGTAACAGCAGGGACATGTTTTAAAAAGCCACTCTGTCGTTTTCCTTGTCAAGTCTGGCACAGTAAAAGTATTCAATTCCGCCGATTCTTTCTGGAAGCTTCTAAAAAAAATCAGACAAATCTTGCAACCCTTTTAAAGCCCCCGTGGTTTAACTTAACTGCAATATTTACTTCCATTTATGCGCTGTCAGTCACCAGCTTTCAAAGGCAAAGTTTTGATTTTTGCATGCTACAATTCCCTTCTTCTTCTTCTTTTTTTTTTTAATTGTCCTGCGTCCAACTGCAGTATGTGTGTTTCTGCAGATTACCCCTTGGTAATCACCTTCTTTTCTGCAATGGAAATGGCCTGAAAATTGCTCTTCGATAATCAGGGATGAGTTCGCCGGGGCCCCTGCCTCACAAAAGCTGGAATTGTGCAATTATCATTTGTAAAGAGAAACTGTTATCAAAGTCACTGCGGGAGACATCTCCAGGACTTCTGTTAAAAAGAGTTGGGGAAATCTGAAACACATATTTCTCACACCAGAAATTTTCTTATAAACTCTCCTGAATAATTCATGAGGCTTGATTTAACAGCACATTTAATTCCTGGCATGCGCTGCATAGAAAACAGAATTCTCTTAAGGTGTAGCCGTCTGGAAGCAAAAGGGGCAACACAAGAAACTACATTTCGGAATGTTCTTTGAAGGCAATTCAAAACTTTTGTAATACTGTCTGTTCGTCGTGCCTAGAATCAGTCCAACCAGCCACTAACACTCGGGGTGTGGGGGTAAGAGACACACAACAGATGCATTTTCAAATCCCCATTTTATTCCCAAGGATTCTGGGTTTATCATTCAATCACTACTCACAGCTCAGGCATTAATGTCCCTGAAAAACAGATGGCTTGGTGATTTCATGCATTTTTTTTAAAGGGCTTACAAAGGAAGATGGCCCCAAGGAAGAGAATTATTTGAGCACCGATGCTGAGCTAAGCAAACGACGGGGTGATAGATAGTGCAAAAAAAATAAAAAAATAAAATCCCAGAATTCATGAAAGTGGCTACAGTTTAATAAGAATACATGAATTGGAAAAGGGGCTGCTAGACTCCTGATTTTTTTTTTTCTTTTTTTGCTCCCATAAACACACAGCTCTCTTCCTCCTCCGACACTTGCTTTGTAACATGGGAATTCTTGTCCTGCTGCCTTGCATAGAAAAGTGTGGAAAGAATGGGTTTCCTTACAGTCCCCAGTCTTTTGATTTTCAAGGCAAGCGTTCACCAGGCACCTTTCGCGAACTGAAGATGATGGGATAGAAATCGATCAACAACTCAGCAAAAAGATTTATAGGCACCAATGCGCTGAAGGATGGCGCGCTGTTGGGTGGCCAGATTAAATTCAAGCCAAAGACACAAGCAAGATTAGAACTGGTCATTTTGTTGAAAATGGTTTCCTGTGACACCTGGAGAAAGGAAGACATAGAACTCAGAACATATACAACATATCTAGCAAGGTACAAGTGCTGGGCAGAAAGTATTAAAAAAAAAAAAATCAAAATAACGCCCATAATTGCACAAGTGAAGTTGATCTCTTCTTTTAAATCTAAGCCCTTTTTTGAATGTTAAAATATATATATACCGTATTTTTCAAATTATAAGACGCACCAGAGTATAAGACGCACCTTAGTTTTTGGGAAGGATTGGCAAAAGTATTGATCAACTTAGAATAAAAGTTTCATCTGGAACTGTCAGCCCTTTGAGGTAATTTAAAGAAGCACCAAGCTTTATGGCCAATTTTCAGTAACTGAATCTTAACTTGCCCCTTCCTTATTTTCCCCCCTTCCTTATTTTCCTCCCTTCCTTATTTCCCCCCTTCCTTATTTTCCTCCCTTCCTCTCCCCAAAACTAGAGAGAGACCCTTCTGAGATCCTCTTTCTGTACCTCCTTTGGACTCAGATTTTGTTTATTGGATTATTTTCTAGGCCAGGGGCATCAAACTCACGTCATCACGGCGGCATCACATGATGTATCGAGAATAGTAGCGGGATTCAATATTTTTACTACCAGTTCTGTGGATGTGGCTTGGTGGGCGTGGCAGGGGAAGGATACTGCAAAATCTCCATTTCCTCCCACTCCTGGGGGAAGGTTACTACAAAATCCCCATTCCCTCTCCACCTCACTAACCTCCTTTCCAGCTTCTTTCTCCTGTGCAGAGCAACAAAATAAGACCCAGCAGATCAGCTGGGACTCGGGAGGCAGAGAATAGATGGGGGCAGGGCCAGTAAGAGGTGGTATTTGTTTGTTTTCCGAACTACTCAAAATTTCTGCTACCGGTTCTCCAGAACTGGTCAGAACCTGCTGAATACCACCTCCGTTTCCACCCCCCTTTGCTAAACTGGGCGTGGGCGTGACCAGCGCATGACGCATCTGGCCCGCGGGCTGTAAGTTTGACAGCCCTGGTCTAGGCTGTGGCTATTCTTCCTATTTCCAAAGGTCATTCCTATGTATCATTATGGGTACCAGGTTTTCTGCAGGTTATGGTTAAAAAATAATAATAATAGTCCTGATGGCTGCTAGGATGGGATCCTCATCATAAACATAAAAAACCAGGCAGTGTCAATCACCCCATTGCGTCAGCCATTTTGACTTTTTCGACCATACCCTGCAGGCACACTTTGGATCTGGTACCAGAAGAATCAGTTAAGAGAGAGCTTCAAAAACAGCAACAAAGTTGGGGATTTAGTAATTTGTACCAACCATGTGGAGAAAACACATCAGAAACTTCAGCACGACATAATTGTGCTCAGGAAGTCGGTGTACAATTTCTTTGCATCTAGTCACTCGCAAGCTACTTTCCACACCTGTGAGAAAAGACAAGGGATCAACCATTTCATTCTAGCTGAATCTTCCTCCTGAAGTGGCCTGCTTGGATGAAACCTGCTTCCTAACTCAATGAGGTAAAAATAAATGCTCCCTTGTGTTGAGTATATTCCTCCACAATATATCCATGTACCCTGTTTCCCCCAAAATAAAACATCCCCTAATAATAATCCCAATCGGGCTTTTGAGCGCATAGTAATAAAGTGAAGCGCTTATTTCAGGGTTCAAAAAAATATAAGACAGGGTCTTATTTTCGGGGAAACACGGTAATATTTGGTGAAACAGTAGGGAAGATGGGGATAAGGGACACGGTGGCTCAGTGGCTAAGATGCTGAGCTTGTCGATCGAAAGGTCGGCAGTTCAGCGGTTCAAATCCCTAGTGCTGCGTAACAGCCAGGGGTGAGATTTGGAGGTTCTTTGAACCGGCCATAACGTTAGCTACGGGTTCTCTCGAACTCGGGCCAACCCCTAGCAGCCCACCCCTGAACCAACCCAATTTCAGACATTCCTTTTTTAAATTCCAGAAGATGTGAGAGAGAAGCAGGACCAAAGATGTCTCTGTGTCTTGGCCAATCAAATCTTGTAGGCTTCGCACAGGTCCAATGGGGCTCAGAGGAATACATGTAAGCTTGCAATAAATATCCTGAAAAATCTGATATTTAGGTGAAAGCAAGTTTCCAGCCCACGCAGTTAGAGAAGGTGCATCACGACACATTCATCTCCTTTGCAGGGATCTACGTCTCAGAACTGTCTAGCTTCACCATGTTTTGCTATTCAGAAAATATGTGGTTACCACTAGAAAGTACAGATGAGTCAAAGCCATATATTTGTGGGAAGTGACTCACCAGTGATTTGAATGATCTGATCATACATTGGGAAGGTCAGTAAAGGTTCAGGAAGTTCTCGGAGAAAAGCCTTCAGGATGACTCCAGGGATGTGAATATCTCCATAGTCATCAAAGTCAACAGTTTTTCCTGCAACAGAAAATGCCAAAGAATACATATAAGAAAACACAAATAAGAGGATTTAATTCAAACACCCTTCATACCCTTTCCTGGGTCAGGAGTCCCTGCACTCAGTCATTCAAGCCCTGGTCATGTTACCCTTGGACTAGTGCTGTGAGGGTGAATCTATGGCACCCTCTCTATGGGTACACGAGCTGTTTCCCCAGTTCAGCTCTGCCATGCATGCAAAACATGCCTCCTGCTGGCCAGATGGTCTTCGTGTCTCTGCCGTGCATGCATGGGGAGGGGGGCACATGTGGGGGGGCACGCACACATGCACAGGGGGAGGGGAGCATGCATGCGTGGAGTGCGTACGGGGCATGCATGCATGCATGTGGTGCATGCATAGGGCTCATGTGCTTATTGCATTTTGGGGGTTTGGGCACATGCCTGCATGCGCGTTGGGCACTTGGTCTGGAAAAGATTAGCCATCACTGGACTAGTGCAATGCACTTAACATGGGGCTACCCTTGAAGAGCCTTTGGAAGCTTCAACTGACGCGGAGTGCGGCAACACAGACAATCTTTGGGACCTCTAGAGTGGCCCATGTTACATCACTCTTCCATGAGTTGCATTCATTGCTGGTTTGCTCCTGAATGCAATTCCAGGTGTTGTTTATTACTTATGAAGCCCTGCATGGCATGGATCTGGGTTACTTTAGAAACCTGTCTTCCCCCTATGGGACAGGCCCGCCCCACTAGTATCGACAGAGAAATCATGCTGCAGATTCTGTCAACCAAGGGATTTCAGCATGGCCTTTGGAATATCTTGCTACCTGAGGTGAGATTGGCTCCCAATCTCCTGACCACCTTCTGCAAAAGCTTGAAGATTTGGTTCTGCCAGTTTGTTTGGGGTTCCAACGGGGGAGTATTATACTGGAGGTCAGCTAACAGCAGCTCCCACCCTGTTTTTTCCTCTCCATCTTTTAATCTTAGTTATAATTTGTATTTTATTATGATTTTATTGTGATTTTACACATTTGTGTGTGCATGTGTATATATACACCCAAACATACATACATATACATTCATAAATATAAACATACATATACATATAGCCGTCAACATCAAAATAAATCTATTATCTATCTATCTATCTATCTATCTATCTATCTATCTATCTATCTATCCATCCATCCATCCATCCATCCATCCATCCATCCATCCATCATCTATCTATCATCCATCCACTATCTATCTATCCATCATCTACCTATCTATCTATCCATCTATCTATCTAATCTATCCATCCATCATCTATCTATCCATCCATCCATCCATCCATCCATCATCTATCTATCATCCATCCACTATCTATCCATCATCTATCTTTCTATCCATCTATCTAATCTATTCATCCATTATCTATCTATCCACCTATCCATCATCCATCCATTCATCCATCCATCCATCCATCTAGCTATCTTCTATCTATCCATCATCGTCTGTCTGTCTGTCTTTCTACCTACCTACCTTACTTATTTTGATGTTATAAGTCTTCCACAGTCACCCTGCAATGAGATGGTCAGCACTCCATTTTCCTTACCTATCCAACTACCCACCTACTTCATAACTTCAAGACCCTTCTTGCTGCAGCTATAATTTGAACATTATTTCCATATTTTCATTGGCTCTAAGCTGGCTCAAATGCAGATCTTTTCCTCATAAGAGAGTTTGTGAAGTTTATCAAAAGCTGTATTTATTTTTTTTTCAAAGTAATTCGATTTTATATCAGATAAGAGATAGAGTAATCTTATCCTGCATATTCTTTTTTCCCTTTTTGTGGTAACAATGGAATGTTATTATCTAGCAGCGAGATATTTGCACTATAAAAACATTTCATAAAATGACTCCAGTGCTTTTCACAAATGATTTCTTTTGACATCGTATCTACAGGAAAAAAGCAGTAAAAAAACAAAGCAAAAAGCAGAGGAGGTGATATTGCTGTTTAGAGAAAATCAAGCTATGCAGGATTCACAATTTGTCATTTCTTAGCTGTTATGAAACCATCAATATAAGCTGGTCACGACTCATTTGTTCAAACTGTTTTAAATGCTGGTCCTAGCTCCTTCCTTCTTGATTTAAGGTTAAGATGGCATCTCTCCAATCCATTAAAGGCTTAGCATGGAGTGGGGACCAATTTGAACTGGTTAAATTAAAAAGAAAAGTATCTTGCTAGTATATATTTTTGGGAACTGCATTATTCATATATTAATTAACTGGGGGGGGGAATCATTCAGGATATCTTTTCCTCATAAAAATAAAAGGTGGCATTTGTTTAATACAGGGGTCTTCAAACTCGGCAACTTTAAGACTTGTGGACTTCAACTCCCAGAATCTTTGCTAGCTGAGGAATTCTGAGAGTTCAAGTCCACAAGTCTTAAAGTTGCCAAGTTTGGAGACCCCTGGTTTAATAAATCATATATCTAATATTTTATTATGAGAGACCAGTAACATGCACAAGAGAGATCGAAAAACCCATGTTCATCAGTGACTAATGTAAATAAATCAAGGAGGGGAGACTGCTTCAATCAAGAGGGCAGAAATTGTGTTCTTGAGGTGGCATTTATGTGTATTTTTCAGAGTATAAGACACTCTGGAGTATAAGATGCACCTTAGTTTTTGGGGAGGAAAATAATAATAAAAAAATCTGCCTCTGCCTACCAGCATCCATCGGTATTCATCTGGCTAGCGTCCTGTCAGTGTGTGAGAGAGTTGAGGGCTGTTTGGAAACTGAAACGGTATTTGCTGTGTGAGCAACAAGGAAGGAGACAGCAAGGAGCCTGGGCGTGGCTTAGCTCAACTGTTCTAAAGCTGCATGCTGTGCTGATCTCTGAAACTAAAACTGAAAATGAAACTCCTCTCCTCTGCTTGTGTTTTGCTTGTATTTACTACCACGTCAGAAAACCTGCTTTTGGTATTGTATATTTACTTCATGTGTTATATTATATATAAAGAGAAGTTATTGAATCCTGCTGAATCAGTTACTTGTGCTTTCTGGATGTGATTGCTGCTGCAAACTCTGACACGTCCTTGCAGCAAATAGCAAACAGCCAGATCAGCTTCAGCACATTATTGCAGCCTTATTCAGCCCGAGCAGCTGATTGGCGGGTAGATCGGCCTCCCGGAATACCCTCAATCAGCTGTTCCAGGCTGCAGGGATTGCCACAGACCATCTTCACATTTTTGGCCTTGTGGACATGGCTACATTCGGTGTATAAGACGCACCCAAATTTTCACCCTCTTTTAGGGGGTGGGGGAGTGTGTCTTATACTCCACAAAATACAGCCAGTCTTCCCTTTGTAATCCAGCCCCAAATATTCACAAGCCCAAATTGGGAGCCTTGGTTGCATTTTTGATGCTCTGGATAAGTTTTAGAAGGTGAAACGTTTTTCCTTATGCTTTGCAGATGTCATCTTGACTTTATAACCCCTCCTCTGGGACAGCTCGCCGGAGCCTAACTCATCACAGTCAACTCGCTGCGCCCAACTCACCATGGCCAACTCGCCACAGCCAACCCACTGTGGGACAATTTGCCACAGAACAAGAGTGACACTAATATCGAAGAAATGGTGGAATATAATCATTAAAGAAAGGATGCCAAAGGAAGGACAAATTGATATGTGAGTGACAATTAAAATAATTTTTAAAACTATTTTAAATAATTAAATTGAATTGTTGAATTGTTCTGTGGAGAGTTGTCCTGTGGCAAATTGGCCATGGTGAGTTGGCCGGAGCGAGTTGCCTCTCATAGCTGCACCTGCTCAGGTGTGCACAAATTTTTCACTTTGAACGTTTGACCACCTTCCCATTCACTTACAGATGCCCTTATCAGGGGTGGGTTCTACTTACCTTTACTACCGGTTCGCATCACGCCCGCTTCTGCGCATGCGCAGATCACCTATGATGACGTCCGGGTCAGTGGGCAGAGCCTCCTGCCGGTTTTACTACCGGTTCTTGCGAACCGGTTCGTACCAGGGGCAACCCACCACTGGCCCTTATTCCTCACTTATCTAATATGGCATTTCACTTTTTAAAGGATTAATCAAACAACTAATGAAAATGAATCTTATGTTTGCATGCTAGGTGCTTTTTTTTTTTTTGGTTTTTTTGTTTTACTTCTTGCTAATAAAAGGGCCACTTACCTTGATTGTAAAGTTTTTGAATCTCTTGAATACTTTTGATGCCCGCTGATCTTCGAAACAGCCCTTCCGTTTTCAGCCCTTTGAAGAGGGAAGGATTAAATCAGTTACTTTTTGCCACTATTGTTCATTTGACCTTCCAGATTAAATACTCAGCATGCTTGTGAATATAAGTGTCATTTTTCCAATACTGGTTCCGATTAGCAAATTGTTTCATTTTTTTCCCATCAAAAATCAGCTAAAAGTAAATTTTTCTCCATTTCCGCTGCATTGTTGTGATTATATAGTGTTGTTGTGACCCAGGCCCAAGTAGGTATTATCAGACGCAATCAGTTCGAAAACAAACAGACTTTATTAGAACAGCTGAGAATTAACTCATTCTCAGCGTAGTCCAAACTAATTCAAAACAAATTCTTCATAACACAAGTCTTCAGCCTTATCACCAACCTTGGTCTAATTAGGCAACCTGCCAAAGACTTTTCTTGGCAAAAGTTCAGAAGCAGAAGACGCTGACAAGAAATAAATGCAGCAAGACAAGAAACAAATCTATCAACGTTGTTTTCTGACAAAGAGCCCAGAAGCCGTTGCTTGTCTTTTAAGCCTTATGGGAGGGGCCAATCATCTCTTGGCCTTACTCCTGAGTTGTCCTCTTTGCTTGAGCTGCTCCTGCCTTCTGGCAGCTCTTCTCATGCGTGCACTAGGAACAGGCTCCTCCTGTTCCTCTGCCTCTCTGCTGAGCCTCTGGAGGCTCCGGAGTCCGCACATCACTCCCAGATGGCCCTGGCCCCATCTCTGCCTCTGACACAGAGCCCTCCCCAGCCTCCAGGACTGGCCCATGTTCTTCCTCAGCCTCCTCATTGTCCAACTCTGCTGACAGCTCCGCAGGCTGCTGGTGGACCACAACAAGTGTTTTATAAAGTCTCTGCGGGCAAAGTGTGATCATCCCAGGCCACTTTTCTTGCATAACAAAAGCATTTATGCAGAGACGTTTACTCAAGCAAAGTAGGCATGAGTAGACATCTAAGCTCCAATTTGCATCTCCTGTTTTATGAGCTGGAAAGAACTGAAAAATGAGTCTATTGCTTTGCCTGGTTCAGGGGTGAAATCCAGCAGGTTCTGACAGGTTCTGGAGAACCAGTAGCGGAAATTTTGAATAGTTCAGAGAACCGGCAAATACCATCTCTGCCTGGCCCCAGAGTGGGGTGGGAATGGAGATTTTGCAGTATCCTTCCCCTGGAGTGCGGTGGGAATGGAGATTTTGTAGTATCCTTCCCCTGGAGTGGGGTGGGAATGGAGATTCTGCAGTATCCTTCCCCTGCCATGCCCACCACACCACGCCTACCAAGCCACACCCACAGAACCGGTCGTAAAAAAAATTGGATTTCACCACTGGCCTGGTTGTATGTGATGCTGGGTGCATGGAAGAAGCCAAGGGCTCACAAAGACATTTGGTAGTCGGTTTCAAAGAGTGAGAAAAATATTGGTCCCCACTTTATGGGTTAGTGTAAAATTCCTCAACCTTGGCAGCTTGAAGATGTGTGGAATTCCAGGGAGATGAACTCAATACACCTTCAATTTATTTGTTAAATTGTAATACAACTGCCAAACTACAGGCAGTCAGCTGAAGTAGCCTGCAGTACTGCATTCTAACCACTAAGCCACCGTGGCTCTTAATTATTCTTTTTCCGTTCAAATTGCCACATTTCACTTCTATAACTGTCTTCAAATTTTGCATCCATTCATAAATCATTCATTTTTTAAAAAAATCTGTTCAGGTTTTGAACTGTATTTCACTAATAGAGTACATGTTATACTGCAAATGTTTAGTATTCTAAATTACAAGATTTTTCATTGTCCTCCCTTGTTTCTTAAATTCTTTTGTTGACGTGTTACTTATCTGAGAATATGGGAACCAACTGAGTGTGGAAGAGCATGGTGTAACAAAAGTCTCAAGAGACCTTAATTTTATCCCCTTCATAATAAAGTCTTGTAATCCAAAAAATAATTTTCTCCACTGATTAAATTTCCTACTGTTTTCTTCATCATAAAAGTATACATTTAGTGAGGAAGCAAGAGGGGAGACGTTTAGATTTATTATTTTCCTATATTTATCTCAAACGTTCAACAAGTTGCTTAATTTTGGATAGTCTCTTGAAAATTATTCATTTCTGTGAATTTTTCGGAGTATAAGACGTTCCGGACTATAAGACACACCTACCTTTTTTGGGGAGGAAAACAAGAGCAAAAAAATCTGCCTCTGCCTCCCAGCAATTTGCCTCCTTGCAGCAAAAGTAAAAGCCTGTTTCATTTTCATTTTCAGCACAGCCTGATTAGCACAAGAAAAAAAAAACTGCCTCTGCCTCCCAGCAATTTGCCTCCTTGCATCAAACAGTAAAAGCCTGTTTCATTTTCATTTTCAGCACAGCCTGATTAGCACAAGAAAAAAAAAATCTGGCTCTGCCTCCCAGCAATTTGCCTCCTTGCAGCAAACAGCCCATTTCAGCTTCAGCTTCAGCACAGCCTGATTAGCACAAGCAGCTCCCGAAGATCAACTGTTTCAGGCTGCAGGGATTGCCATAGCCTATTGCCGCCTCTGCGCGCCCCATTTTCTGGGTGGGCGGCAGGTGGGCGGGGCTACATTCAGTGTATAAGATGCACCCAAATTTTCACCCTATTTTAAGGGGAAAAAAGTGTCTTATATTCCGAAAAATATGGTATGTCTGTAGGAATCTGTCTCTTCCATTAAGGTGTGGAACCACAGGGAGTTATGAAATGAATCCTTACCTCTTTTTTTCAAGTAAGCCACTGTTTGATTCATTACAGGTGGTATTAATTCCCCTTTGTTTTTAGCACTGAGGCTGTTGGAGAAAAGAAAACAGGTTGAAACATGACCTGAACAAAAATCCCAGCATTGGCAAAGCTATCTTGCTTCTAATCTGTTAACCTGACTTTCATTTAAAAAGAAAAGAAAATAGAAGTCTCAAAAAAAAAAAAATGGAGACAATGCATTGATTTTGATGCTGTGCCTACCATCTCGTAGATTTTGACACATACCCCCATAAAGAGAAAAACAAATTATTTGATAGCAAGTTGTTACTTGGAACATCGAGTGTGAAAAGAAAATCAGTTGTGGAGCTCATTCAGCATAACTTCAGAAGAATTCCTTAACAGGGCAAAAATGAAATGTGTATCTTTACAGAAAGAATTTTTGAACCTTTGTTCAAGGAAATATGATTTGTTTGTTTGTTTGTTTGTTTGTTTGTTCTATTCATCCATCCATCCATCCATCCATCCATCCATCCATCCATCCATCCATCCATCCATTTCTATAGCCACCCATCTCAACCAGTGATTCTGAAAGTCCCACTAACAGTAGCAGGAGTGGTGTGGACAGCATGAGCACCAATAGACTTTCAGAAGGACAGTGAGCACTTTTCAAGGCTTTCTGACCAAGGGACCATCCAGCTTTTATCCAGAAGATGTCACGCTTGATGATTCATCTCCTTTAAGGTTATCTCAGCACTTGGCCAACTTGGGCTAAGCAGATTCAAGCAAATTAGACTTCTTGGATTTCTTTATTAACAAGATTTCTACAGTCCAAAGAGTATCAGGAAGCGTGCAATCTCTATGGTGCATGAGGCACTATCCCTAAATCCCAATTTTCTAACCTAAAGTAAAGGTAAAGGTTCCCCTCGCACATATGTGCTAGTCATTCCTGACTCTAGGGGGCGGTGCTCATCTCCGTTTCAAAACCAAAGAGCCAGCGCTGTCCGAAGAGGTCTCCATGGTCATGTGGCCAGCATGACTAAACCAGGGGTGAAATGCTCCCGGTTTGGACCGGATCACCCGATCCAGTAGCGATGGTGGCGGGTGGTTCGGAGAACCTGTAGCAAAAATCCATGCCCCCCACACGCCCAGCTGAGCCGCGTCATTATCAGAGGCTTTTTTTTTTTACTTTTAAACACGGAACCTGTTACCTTCCCACCAAAGTGGTCCCTATTTTTCTACTTGCATTTTTTTTACATGCTTTCGAACTGGTAGGTTGGCAGAAGCTGGGACAAGTAACGGGAGCTCACCCTGTTACGCGGCACTAGGGATTCAAACCTCTGAACTGCCGACCTTTCGATCGACAAGCTCAGCGTCTTAGCCACTGAGCCACCGCGTCCCCTCTTTCCTAACCTAAGCTGGGATCTAAAATGAACCCAAGAAAAATGATGATGATATTCCTGCCAAGAAAACATCTTGAACATCAACTCATTGGGATTTTTGTTGATCTTTTTATTTGTATTAAAAAAAAATTTATTTTCTGATCAAACAAGTATACAATATAAACAATCATTCAAACTATCATCAAGAAGAAAAAAAAATCAATCCATAATCCATCACTAAACTCAATCTTCAACCCCTCCTCACCACCCCCCACCCCCGACTTCCCAGAACAAAAACAGGGCATAGGTTTCACCAAACATTCGCTAAAATAAACTAGCTAACTGCAAGATTTAATAGCTCCCAAGACCCCTTAACTCCCCTTTTACAATTTCATCAACCTGCCTTTTTATAGACTCAAAGTAGCGTATAATCCAATAACTCTAAGAGTTTTAAAACCATTAACAAATATTAAGCATTCAAACCTTAAAAATTCTCTTAATATATCAATAAAGTATTCAATTCATTTGCAAAAACATTTTTCCCCCTCCTACTTTTCTCAAAGTTCAGATATTTTAAAATCTTATGACAAAAAATAAACCTTGGATATTCAATAGTTAAATTTCTACATTTTCTAAATTTCTAAATTTTCCCCCTTCATTATTCCTCCCTCCAACTTTTTTTGGATTTTTGTTGATCTTGAAGGGCAGAAGGCCTCTGGCTGACTTTGGGCCATTCTTTTTCTCCCAGCCAAATCAAATCCTCAAGGTTATTATCAGGTTAAAATGAGGTGAGGGAATCCCGCTATTTGTTAAAACAAGTTAAAAATCTATCTAAACAGATATGAAGCGATATCGGGGAGACATAATTGAGTTTGGCTGAAATATGAATCGGCTGCTCAGGATTAGTTCCATGACCCCTGTGGTTGAACCCTCACATCATATTTAGAAGCTCCAATATAAGGAAAGCTTTTGAATTGGCTTCAGATAGAAAACACGGGACATTTATTCCTTCTCTGATCATTCTTTCACCATTATGGCTCATTGCATTTGTCTTAAGCAAAGGAGGAATGACACCCTCGGTAGCTATTAATAACTTGGACAGGCAGAAAGTGTCAGCTTGTATTAGTAAATCTTGCACACTTTCTTGCTGGTGTGCAAGAAAGAAGCCTCTCTGGACTAAGTGTGACAAGGAATCCCTTCATGCATTCTTTGGATTCTCTTTCTTTCAGCCCCAGATTTTTTAAAATAAAGGAATGGCAGGAAAAAAAAAAAAAGGCAAGCTCATGATTTTTCAGTGTCCTGTCCTGTGAAGTAGGGCAGGTCAACAACAGGGATTGAGTCTGTCATCTGCACCTCCATAACTGACTGGTTTGGCTCTGCAACCCAACAAAACAGACACAGACTTCAGAGGATAGTTAGAACTGCAGAAAAAACAATGGCTACCAACCTGCCTTCCATTGAGGACCTGTATATTACACGAGTCAAAAAGAGGGCAGTGAAAATATTTACAGATCCCTCACATCCTGGACATAAACTGTTTCAACTCCTACCCTCAAAATGATGCTATAGAGCACTGCACACCAGAATAACTAGACACAAGGACAGTTTTTCCCCTAATGCCATTTCTCTGCTAAACAACTAATTCCCACAACACTGTCAAATAATTTACTAAGACTGTATTACTATTACTCTTCTCTTCCTTACTAGTATCTATCTCTTCCCACTTATTACTATAACCATGTTGCTTGTATCTTTCAATTTATATTGTTTTTATTTGTTTCCTAGTATGATTTGATAGCTTATTAGTAACCTTGACTATCATGAAGTCTTGTATCTTTTTATTCTTGATGAATGTATTTTATTTTCCTTAGGTACACTGAGAGCATATGCACCCAAGACAAATTCCTTGTGTGTCCAATCACACTTGGCCAATAAAGAATTCTATTCTATTCTATTCTATTCTATTCTATTCTATTCTATTCTATTCTATTTATTCTTCTATTCTATTCTATTCTATTCTATTCTATTCTATTCTATTCTATTGCTGGAATGTTTCTATCATTGCTGGGTAGAAGAAGAGAAAACTCGGCAGAGCTTCTCTCTACAGTACTCCATCTTATCCCAAGCAAAATCAAGATGGGGTTAGTGTGAGCTCCTTTGCAGGAGTCCCTTTCCCCCCAGGATTATCTAATATTATTTGCAAGTCTCCCCAATAGTTTGTTCACTCCAACCTTATCCCCAATGTGCATTCCTTTACAAGCCCAGATGGGGAGCTGACGGTCCTGGCAGCAAGACACGTAGCCTGCCTGAGATGCCACCAAGGAGGACTAGTTAAACTTTGGAAGGGGTCAGGTTCCATTCAGCAACATGGTCAAATAAAGCAGGGAGCTTACTACTGAAGGCTGACTCCAAACTGCTGCGTTGGAAGAGGAGGCCGTGGTGGAGGAAGTTTTGCTGGAGGAAGGGATCTGCTCTTCTGTTTCATCTGAAGATTTTCATCGTGTCTGGTGGGGAAACACAATCTCAATATTCAAGAGATAAAATGTTTGGTTCACTTATATCGTTCAAACCAAACTCATTGGTGGAGGAGAAAATGGTGAAGAGAGGAGGAGGAGGAGGCAGAGAGGAGGAAGAGGAGGCAGAGAGGAGGAGAAGGAGGAGACAGAGAGAAGGAAGAGGAGGCAGAGAGGAGGAGAAGGAGGAGGCAGAGAGAAGGAAGAGGAGGCAGAGGAGGAGAAGGAGGAGGCAGAGAGAAGGAAGAGGAGGCAGAGAGGAGGAGGAGAGGAGGAGCAGAGAGAAGGAAGAGGAGGCAGAGAGGAGGAGAAGAAGGAGGAGAAGAGGAGGCAGAGGAGGAAGAGGAGGAGGCAGAGAGAAGGAGGAGGAGGCAGGGAGAGGAGGAGGAGGAGGAGGAGAGGAGGAGGCAGAGAGAAGGAGAAGGCAGCAGAGGCAGAGAGGGAGGAGGAGGTAGAGAGGAAGAGGAGAGGAGAAGAGGAGGCAGAGAGAAGGAAGAGGAGGCAGAGGCAGAAGAGGAGGAGGTAGAGAGAAAGAGGAGGAGGAGGCAGAGAGAAGAGAGAGAAGGAAGAGGAGGAGGAGGAGGAGAAGGAGGAGACAGAGAGAAGGAAGAGGAGGGGGGACAGAGAAGGAGGAGAAGGAGGAGGCAGAGAGAAGGAAGAGGAGGCAGAGAGGGGAGAAGGAGGAGGCAGAGAGAAGGAAGAGGAGGCAGAGAGGAGGAGGAGAGGAGGAGGCAGAGAGAAGGAAGAGGAGGCAGAGAGGAGGAGAAGAAGGAGGAGAGGAGGCGGCAGAGAGGAAGAGGCAGAGAGAAGGAGGAGGAGGCAGAGAGGAGGAGGAGGAGGAGGAGGAGAGGAGGAGGCAGAGAGAAGGAGAAGGCGGCAGAGGCAGAGAGGAGGAGGATGTAGAGAGGAAGAGGAAGAGGAGGCAGAGGGGAGGAGGAGAAGGAGGAGAAGAAGGAGGAGAGGAGGAGGCAGAGAGGAAGAGGAGGAGGCAGAGAGAAGGAGGAGGAGGAGGAGGCAGAGAGGAAGAGAAGGAGGAGGGTTAGGGTAAGGGCCAGGGGTGGGATTCAGCCTATTCAGATTGGTTCGGGCGAGCTGGTTGCTCCAACAATTAACTGAGAGCGAACTGGTTCGCTCCAACTATCATGTGGGCCTGCTATACTGACCTTTCTTTTCTTTCTTTTTTCTTTTTGAAGCCCAGCTGAGGCACGGCAGAGCGGATTGCCACCTATCAGCTGTTTTACTCACTGGGGCTGCAGTTTTAGACCGATTTGGAAACGCACTGCGTGTGTGCAGAGTGAGCGTTTGGCACGCATGTGCTCGGTGCGAACCGGTTGTTACACCGGTTGAATCCCACCACTGGCTAGGGCTAATCTAAATCAGTTGTATCACAATCTGTGCAGGCATCTGAGAAAAATAAAAATATCTGTAAATATTAAAGTAAAAAAAAATCACCTACCGAATCACTTCTTCAGGGATATTCAGGTGTTCGTATTTCAGGTGGTCTCTCAAGTCACTTAAGTAATTCAAATAGATCACCTTTTTTCCAAATTTGTGACTGAAAACAGAGAAGAACTTCTATCAATATCAAAATCTGGAACAGGAGGAACACCTCAATTTAATTATTAGACAGAACCAGAAGGGCACAAAGCAGCAAACGTAGCCATTTTCATATGATCAGATGTATGCACACTATGCTTGTGATCGGTCTGACAAGAATAATTGTCTTTCAGAATTGTCTTCCAGTGCATGGATTGGAAAATATTCTTTCAAGAACCTGACAAAAACTTCATCTTAATAACGTAGGGAAAATGCATGTGCTGTTAGAAGATTTTTGGTTGACAGTAATGCAGGGGTGAAATCCAAATTCTTTCCCTACCGGCTCTGTGGGCGTGGCTTGGTGTTCATGGCAAGGGAAGGATATTTTTTATTTTTATTTTTTAATTTGATTTATATGCCACCCTTCTCCGGAGACTCAGGGCGGCTTACAATGCGCTAAGCAATAGCCTTCATACTTTTGTATATTTATACAAAGTCAGCTTATTGCCCCCACAACTGGGTCCTCAATTTACCTACCTTAGAAAGGATGGAAGGCTGAGTCAACCTTGAGCCTTGGCGAGATTCGAACCTGCAGTAATTGCAGGCAGCTGTTTTTAATAACAGGGTGCTTTAGACCACTGTACTACCAAGGCTCTATATTGCAAAATCTCCATTCCCACCGCACTCCAGGGGAAGGATACTGCAAAATCCCCATTCCCTGCCCACTCCTGGGGGAAGGATATTGCAAAATCTCCATTCCCACCCCACTCTGGGGCGAGTCAGAGGTGGCATTTGCCAGTTCTCCGAACTACTCAAAATTTCCGCTACCGGTTCTCCAGAACCTATTAGAACCTGCTGGATTTCACCCCTGCAGTGATGCCCCAACTAGATAGCTCAGCTGGGGCCAGGGGCTTCCATGGGGAAGAAATAGCCGTTTCAAAAACTCAAAACTGTGCCTGTTATTATATATGTCAACTGCAGTAACACTTTTATACACACACACAAATGGAAAGATAGAACAATTCCTAGAATGGATGGTAAAAATGATGAAGATAGCAAAGATGGCAAAATTAACTCTTTAATTAAAAGAATAGATCTAGTTTTATTTCTACTTGTACACTGCTACTGGATTTTATGCTTGAAACAGAAAAAAAAGTGAAATTTTGATTTTGGGTTTTAGATTAGTTTGCTGTTAAAGAAATGGCTAGTAAATATGGAAAAGTAAAAAGCCTTGCTTTTCTTTGATTGCATTCAGTTCATACTCAGTAGAAGTACCTTTCTCTATGAAAATGGAGTCGGGGTTTTTCTTTCTTGAGTACTGAAACGAGGCACACCTGACACTTCCCTTTCTTTGAGAAAATGTTAAATTTTCTCTCCCTTTCCTTATTAATACAGGTAGTCCTTGACTTACAATCACAACTGAGCCCCAAATTTTTGTTGTTAAGTGAGACATCTGTTAAGTGAGCTTTGCCAATTTAACGACCTTTTTTGCCACAGTTGTTAAGTGAATCACTGCAGTTGATAAGTTAGTAACCCGGTTGTTAAGTGAATCTGGCTTCCCCATTGACTTTGCTTGTCAGAAGGTTGTAAAAAGGGATCGCATGACCTTGGGACACAGCAACGGTCATAAGTATGAACCAGTTACCAAGCATCTGAAGTTTGATCACATGATCACCGCCCTGAGTCCGAAAGGAGAAGGGCGGTATAGAAATTTGAATAATAATAATAATAATAATAATAATAATAATAATAATAATAATAATAATAATGATGATGATGATTCAAAGGTTGCAGTTGTGAAAAACGGTTGTAAGTCACCTCAGAGGGATACAATCAAGATCAAGTGAGGTACTAATACCACTCTATAAAGCCCTAGTAAGACCACACCTAAAATATTGCATCCAGTTTTGGTCACCACACTATAAAAAAGATGTTGTGACTCTAGAAAGAGTGCAGAGAAGAGCAACCAAGATGATTAGGGGACTGGAGACTAAAACCTATGAAGAACGGTTACATGAACTGGGCATGGCTAGTCTAGTGAAGAGAAGGACCAGGGAAGGCATGATAGCAGTCTTCCAATATTTGAGGGGCTGCCACAGAGAGGAGGGGGTCAAGTTGTTTTCCAAAGCACCTGAAGGCCAGACAAGGAATAATGGATGGAAACTGACCATGGAGAGATTCAACCTATAAATTAAGAGAAATGTTCTGACAGTGAGAACAATCAACCAATGGAACAGAAGTTGCCTTTGGAAGTTGTGGGAACTTCATCACTTGAGACTTTCAAGAAGAGATTGGACTGCCATTTGTCAGAAATGGTGGATCTCCTGCTTGAGCGAGGGGTTGGACTAGATGACCTATAAGATCCCTTCTAACTCTGTTAATCTGTTATATCTGTTACTATTTTCAGTGCTGTTGTAACTTTGAACAGTTATTAAAGGAACTGTTGTAATACAGCTCATCATCAAACCTCTCTGAAGATCAAAGTGCTTGGATGCATTAATTTTCCCCTCATAAATCTATGAGGGGAAAAAGGAAACGAGAAATAGGACTGAGAAAAAAAGCAATATTGGAAGCATAGAACACTTTGCTTAGAAAGCCCATATATAGTGTTCAGACTAAAGTCCTTTGAAAATGTGTCTTCTTTCCTCCTTAAAAAGTACTGTTATGAGTTCCAGAAATAAAATCGAGGGAATAAGTAGCTATGCCCAAATATTTGGTCAGGAATGTGCAAACAAAGCTTCTACTTGTTTCAAGTTAACATGTCCGTTTTCAGAACAATCTCATTAATTTTACTAGTCAAAGTAACCTTTTAAAAATTGATTTAAAACAAACCACAGCCATTTTGCCCTACAATATCAGGCGTATCAGAAAAGCCATACACTGGAATTAAAATGGATTTTAAGCATCTTTGACTTTTCTGGAAATGATTCTGCAAAAAGCTTATCAAGAAGAAAAGCATTTCATAATTACTTAAGAGTAGAGCAGAAAACTGGTATATTCAAGCTCCCTCTACTGGTAGGTAGCATGAAATAAATAAAATTCATTCTTTCTTGAGGGGGAATTAATTGACCCAAAGTGAAGGTTTATGCTAGAAAGAAGCATCTTTGTAGAATTCATATTCTTGATTTTCAATGTCTTTAATTCTATGTAGGCTGTCCAATACATATTTCTAACCAACTAGCTCTCTCTACCAACAAATTGATCCTTAGAGATCTTACTAAGTGTCATTAATCAGAGTAACAGAGTTGGAAGGGGCATTGAAGGTCTTCTAGTCCAACCCTTTGCAGAATCAAGAGGCCCTAAATCATTCCAGACAAATGTCTCTCCAATCAACCAAATACGATGCAGATAATTTGTTATTCATCTTGGAAGTGCTTTTAGGTTCTGCCATACATTAATGCCTAGGAAATCTCACACACATATCCAGTTAAGGATGAACAAGTTAGACAAGGTTCACAGGATAATTAAAAAATGACATAGAGACTTGAATATGGTTAATATTGACTTTTTCAGCATCCCTGAATGTGAGTAGTTCATGCCCATGGATTTACTCAAGAGCAAGGAGAAAGAAGCCCGATTAGAATAGAATAGTTGAGTTGGAAGGGACCTTGGAGGTCTTCTAGTCCAACCCCCTGCTTAGGCAGGAAACCCTACATCACTTCAGACAAATGGTTATCCAACATCTTCTTAAAAACTTCCAGTGTTGGAGCATTCAGAACTTCTGGAGGCAAGTTGTTCCACTGATAAATTGTTCTGACTGTCAGGAAATTTCTCCTTAGTTCTAGGTTGCTTCTCTCCTTGATTAGTTTCCACCCATTGCTTCTTGTCCGGCCCTCAGGGGCTTTGGAGAATAGCTTGACTCCCTCTTCTTTGTGGCAGCTCCTGAGATATTGGAACACTGCTATCAGGTCTCCCCTAGTCCTTCTTTTCATTGGACATACCCAGTTCCTGCAACTATTCTTCATATGTTTTAGCCTCCAGTCCTCCCCTAATCATCTTGGTTGCTCTTCTCTGCACTCTTTCTAGAGACTCCACATCTTTTTAAAATCATGGCGACCAAAGATTTGACCTCTAGTCCTATTGCTCTGCAGACATCAACCATAAATTGTGGCTTCGATTATGGGAGAAATCTGAGATGTTTGAGGTTCTTCTTCCTACTCTTCTGAATTGAAGGTAAAAGATGCCTGGTGGGACAACCAGCCAAGGGAATTCTTGAGGGCTGACACCTTATTTTAACCCTTGATGTAAAAGCTACAGAAGAACAGCCGTAACAATGCCCTTTGTGGCCCTCATAGTGGCAACACAAATGCCCTAAACCCATTTGCTGGTATTCTTTTCCTCCATAATTGCAACACTTTTTTTTCAGGTGAAGCTCAGTAGCCACTACAGAACCTCAGAGCCACCATACTGGAAAAAAACCCCCCAGAACTGGCTGCTCTGGTTGGATAATCCCATTAGTGATTGCCAGGAAACCAGGGGTGGGCTGCTGTGGGTTCACAGGGGTTCAGGAGAACTTCTAGCTAAGACTCTGTGCAGTTCGGAGAACCCTCAAATCCCATTCCTAGCTGGCCCCACCCACCCACCCTGTCCCTCCCCTCCCAGAAATCCCCATGTGGCCCATTTTGAATGCAGGACATGCATGGAAGCTTGGCGAGGGCAGAAGCTTGTTTCCGGCCTCCAGAGGGCCTCCAAAACCTGGGGAGCCCGTTTTCGCCCTCTTGGAGGCTCAAGGAAAGCCTCCGGAGCCTGGGGAGGGAAAACACACACACACCCCGTGGTGCAGGAGGCCAACTAGGCCATGCCCACCATGGCCATGCCCACCCAGTAACCAGGCAGAGATCCCCTTGCTAAAATTTTTGAAGCCCACCCCTGCAGGAAGTAAAGAGCAAATGAAATTGGTGTGATCTATCGAGGCTCAGGCCATCCAAACGGGGGGAAAAAATCTAATGTGAACAGGTTTAGTTGGAAACTTGGAAGGGAAACCACATCTCTCTCATTTAAAGATTACTGACGCCCCCAACTATTTCAATCTTCGTTTTCTATCATGCAGATGTTTCCCCCGAAGAATGTTGGAAGAGAAAGAACTTAGCTTTCCTTCTGCTTAAAAAGAATCCAGACTGTACCTCATCAGAGGTTTGAAAATGTTCCAAATTATCCTGATGAAGTTGGTGGGATGTACAATGTAGAGCGCTTTCAGGTTTTTCTTGTATCTGCAGAAAAGAAAATTAAATGGTAAGAAGGCTTCCAAAAGCAGCTGCAAGCAAATGAAAGCAAACGTTTTCATTACTGGGATATTATGCATTTGCCTTCCAAGTACATTTAATTTAAAGGGAATTGAATGCGAAATAAAGGGAGGAAATGGTCAGTTTTAGGTGGAATTCAAGTAGGTGAAAATTATACAGCTATTACATTACAAAACACTACCTAAATTGTTTGGGGCGAATAATGAAGACAGAGGGAAAAATAAATCTCTCCAAACGATACGAGCAAAGGGCCTGAAATGGAGAAAGGAAAAAAAAAAGTAAGAGCAGAAAAGATCTTTATGAATGCAGCTCACACACACACACAAAATCACACACACACAATCATACACACCATTTGATGTAATGTTTATGTTTCAGATGTATTTGTGCTTTGAATTCCTAAAGAGACCTGGAAAGAAAACTAACCATCTTGGCACAAATTAATCGATCTCCAAGCATTCTTGCTTCTGAAAGGTGACTCAAAATCTGCAAGACAGCTGGCAATGTGGTATGCAGATATCAACTCCCTCCCCCATGTCCCAAAAATACGTCCTTGTAAACCAATGTCTGGCTGTAAAAGTTGGACCGTAAGAAAGGCTGAGCACCAAAGAACTGAGGCCTTTGAACTATGGTGCTGGAGAAGACTTCTGCGAGTCCCTTGGACTGCAAGGCGATCAAACCGGTCAGTCCTAGAGGAGATCAACCCTGACTGCTCTTTAGAAGGCCAGATCCTGAAGAGGAAACTCAAATACTTTGGCCACCTCATGAGAAGGAAGGACTCACTGGAGAAGAGCCTAATGCTGGGAAAGATTGAGGGCAAAAGAAGAAGGGGACGGCAGAGAACGAGGTGGCTGGATGGAGTCACTGAAGCAGTTGGCATGAGCTTAAATGGACTCCAGAGGATGGTAGAGGACAGGAAGGCCTGGAGGAACATTGTCCATGGGGTCGCGATGGGTTGGACATGACTTTGCAGCTAACAGCAACAACAAACCAATGAGAAGTTTGTATTGCCAGTTCAGCAGTAACAAAGTGTAACAGTTTTTTCTATGACATTTCTATTTTTTCCAGTATCTGTATTTGTAGACAAGTCCAGTCAGGATCCTTGCAGGTAAATGACTTACTGCGTTCTTGCTAGTGGCTGGCACTACCAAAGTCTGATGAGTAACTGGGAATTACTTCCCAGTGTAGCTGTAATGGCATTGAAGTTAGAATTTTGACTTCCAGTTGCTGTTTCGTCCCCTCTCATTGTGATGGAAGGTAGTCTGGATTCCCAGAAGGAAGGGAGGGAGGGAGGGAGGGAATTCCTGAAGAATATGAAGCATCTCAGTTCAACAGTGTATGTCTGGGGTGGGGAACGATGGCCCTTTTATGACTTGTGGACTTCAACTCCCAGAATTCCTGAGTCAGCCATCATTCTCTGGTTTATGTGGAAGAAAGAGGGTGAAGACTGTCCTCCTTAATAGTCCCCAGAGGACATGCTTCTTGTAGATAGTAGGATGCTTCAGTTCAGCAACATTTTGTCCATAGGTGTAGAACAATAAAGAAATCTGCTTGGAAGACTCACCCCATATCTTTGGGCTGCAGGACCCCCAAAACCCCATGTGGTTTTGGGGGGGCCTGCACTTATTTGCAGAAAGCAGGATGCTTTGGGATGGCTCAAAGGCCAAACCTGCAACTTCAAAAACTTTACTTGTTTTAGGTGTCCCCATTGGGCAGGTCTGAGGATTCAGTATCTTCAGCTGTGCTGAACGAACACGATCGCTCTACTGCCTTCAAGGTGAATTTGAACTCCACCGCCGTGTTGGAAGCCGAGAGGAATTTAACAGAATGTGGTTCAACCTTTACTCATTGCACTATAGAGATAAGCACATCTGCTACTTTGCTTTTTCTAGCCTGCTGTGAATGCTGCCTCCTCTTTTTATCTGGAGAAGGCCCTAGTGGGCAGAAGATGGCACCTGGTGGCTCAGCAGACTGATAGCATTGTGATTAACACCAGCTGTCTGCAATTACTGTAAATTCAAATCTCGCCAGGCTCAAGGTTGACTCAGCCTTCCATCCTTTCTAAGGTAGGTAAATTGAGGAGCCAGTTTGTGGGGGCAATAAGCTGACTTTGTATAAATATACAAAAGAATGAAGGCTATTGCTTAATGCATTGTAAGCCGCCCTGAGTCTCCGGAGAAGGGTGGCATATAAATCAAATTAAAAAAAAAAAAAAGATGGAAGGAAAGAAAAGAAGAGGAACAAGATGGATAGTTACAGTTACAGTGGTGACTGTTGAAAGAGCTGAAGGGTCAGTTAGGGATAGATATTTTGAAGAAAATCTATCTATATCAGGGGTCTCCAAACTTGGCAACTTTAATGCCCAGGGAGTTGAAGTCCACAAATCTTAAAGTTGCCAAGTTTGGAGACCCCTGATCTATACGGTCACTAAGAGTCAACAATGACTTGGCATAGAATCCTCATCAATTTTTTAAAAGTTTAGTCTGGTTGCTGAAGTGTGCTGAATTATGGGACAGCGGGTTCCACCCTATAACTCCATCTTCCCTGAGCTTTGCGAAGTGCACGTCCATTTTGGCTTGGGGAAGGAGATTGTTCTAGAGCAGTGTTGGCGAAACTTTTCAGCACCGAGTGCCGAAACAGGAGTGTGCGCATACGGGGGAGCACCGGAAACCGAAAGAGCAGCTCCCTGGCATGCGCATGTGGGAGCGCCAGAAACTGAAAGCAGTTCCCCAGCACGCATGCGCACGCCAGGAAGCTGAGCTTGCAGTTTTCTGCAAGCACATGTATGCCGGTCACCTGGTCTTCTGGTTTCTGGCATGCTTGCACATGTGAAGACCAGTTGGATGGCACTCATGCACGCACGGAAACCGGAACCTCAGCTTCCCGGCACATGCATGCACGCCAGCGAGCTGCTCTTTCAGTTTCTGGCGCTCCCGCGCGCATGAAGACAAACCAGGAAGAGCAACGGGTGACGGCTAGCATGCCCGGAGAGGTGCCGCTTCTGGCACGCATGCCATAGTTCGCCATCATGGTTCTAGAGTCTAGTCAAATCCTGCTCTGCGGCTTGACAGCAATTGGCGGGGCCCTAAAGCTAGTTAAGAAATTTGCCTCTTTGTTTAAAATAATGACTTATATTACTGCAGTTATTATATCATATCCTTACATCAGTGGTGGGTTTCAAAAATTTTTACTACCGGTTCTGTGGGTGTGGCTTGGTGGGAGTGGCAGGGCATGGTGGGCGTGGCTTGGTGGGCGTGGCAGGGGAAGGTTACTGCAAAATCCCCATTTCCTCCCGATCAGCTGGGACTTGGGAGGCAGAGATTAGATGGGGGCGGGGCCAGTCAAAATTTTTACTACTGGTTCTCCAGAACTGGTCAGAACCTGCTGAAACCCACCTCTGCCTTACATCAACGTTTCTCAATCTTTAGCAACTTGAAGATATGTGGAGTTCAATTCCCAGAATTCCCCAGTTGGCATGGCAGCCAGGAATGGGATTTGGGGATTCTCCGAACTGCACAGAATCTTAGCTAGAGGTTCTCCTGAATTCCTGAGCACCCCCAGCAGCCCACCCCTGGACTTAAGCAATTTGGAGGGCAGCAAGGATAAAGTTCAATACTCAGTAAAAATTGAAATATTTCAGTTTGGCTGAACTGTGCTTTTACAATTAAGGCACCCCATTTGCAACCCACACAAAAAAAAAAACATACTTCCGGTCAAATTCTTTGTAGGCACTTTGCAACCAGCTCAGAGATGGCTTGTTTTGACTGTTTAATCCATAGTGAAAGTAGACAAGCGTGTAATCGCTTTCCACATACTGTTCAAGCGTGTACTTCAAATATCTAGAAAAGAGGATTTTGGAAGAAGAGAAAACAACATGTAGCATTAATAGATGCACTCTGGGTTTATAGTGGGAGAAAAACAATTTATCTAAGAAAGGAAAGGAAGAGACTTGATCAGTATCCTGAATATTTACCATTTTCCCACAGGTGAATTTCAGTAAATGCCAAATGCCATGGACACCTTCTTAGCAGAGGAGAGTTCAAGGCATTCTTGAGAATATGAGAACAGTCAATTCAGAGACCTCTGTGTGGGAGGAGATGGGGTGCATGTTCAAATGGGCCTTTTATTAGGACACCCCATCTAACACCCTTCTTGCAGATGTTGACTTTCCTCAGGAGATACCGGAAGTGGTATTCAGCAGGTGGATCAGCCTCCGGAATACTCCCAATCAATTATTCCCAGAGGTGAATTTTAGCAACAGGTTCCTTGGTTGTGAGTGCTGTGCCTTGCTTTTTTTTTTTTTTTCTGCCTCCTAAACAGAGCTTCAAAAAAAAAAAAAAAAAAGCCCCTGAAGCTCTGTTTGGAGGCTTCTTTTCTGAAGCTGTTTGGGGGCTTTTTTTCTGAAGCTCTGTTTGGGGCTTTTTTTCTGAAGCTTCATTTCTGATGCTTTTTTCAGCCTCTGAAACCTCCATTTGAGAAGTTGGGTGGGGCTTCATTCGGAATATAAGACGCACCCAGATTTTCACCCTCTTTTTTGGGGGAGAAAGGTGCATTTTATACTCCAAAAAATACAGTATCTATAAACAAAAAATGAAGGCATTGGAGGGGAGGTTACCATTATTTTAAAAAATATAAAAATTTGCAGACAACAAAGCAGATGGGACGTGTTCTGTACATCCTTATGTTACTGTGATTTCTGGCTGACTTGAAGCTGATACCGACACATAGATAAAAATAAAAGAGAGAAGTCACCTTAGGAAACCCAGCTGCACACTGGAGTTGTGCAGCAAGAAAAAAGTAGAGAGGACCAGAAAGCAAAGAATAAATGGACCTACTGCAATAACTGGCGGTGGTTGATCTGGTGCGAAGGAGGCAGGCGGCATGAACTGAAGGCGATCACTTTTCTCCCCAAAGAATCATCACCTGCAGAGTCAACAAGGGTTAGGTGAAATCGGGTGAAATTGTGATCAGAAGTTCAAGTTTTCTGCTCAGGAGGGCTGAGTCTTAAGTCTACAGCAGTGTTTTTCAACCTTAGCAACTTGAAGATGGGTGGACTACAACTCCCAGAATTCCCCAGCCAGCCACCTTCAAGTTGCCAAAATTAAAAAAGTTGGTTTAAAGCCTCAGTTTTGCAGAGTTCAAAACAGAGAGCCCACAAAGTCAACTTTACACCTTATTTATTTATTTTTATTTATTTTAATTTGATTTATATGCCGCCCTTCTCCAGAGACTCAGGGCGGCTTACAATGCGTTAAGCAATAGCCTTCATACTTTTTGTATATTTATACAAAATCAGCTTATTGCCCCCACAAACTGGGTCCTCATTTTACCTACCTTAGAAAGGATGGAAGGCTGAGTCAACCTTGAGCCTGGTAAGATTCGAACCTGCAGAAATTGCAGGCAGCTGTGTTAATAACAGGGTGCATTAAACCACTGTACTACCAAGGCTCCTGGTAGTTATTAACGTGGTGCTTGCTATTAGCAGGGATGTTTGCGTATGCGGTCCAAAAAAGTCAAGACGATGGTCGCAAGCAGGCAAGTTCCACCTAAATGCAGATAATAAATGGGCGGAGCTTCAATTGCGGCTAAGCAATGAGTCGTAAGTCAAGGACTACCTTTATTTGATAAAATATTAAAAAGGGTGGGATTTGATTATGCCGTTGCAGCCACTAGTCTTGATATTTTGGACCCTAAAATAGTTGGGGTGAGCAACTATCCGATTCCACATTTTGGGAGCAAAGCAATTTGAGAATGTATGGGCTTCAGTCAACTTCTCTAAGCAGCCCTAATTGTTTCTCAGTTCAGGCAACTGAACACAACACAAAATGGGGATATTGATGGTTCTGGAAGTGTCACAGTCAACTTTCGATCAAAACATGTTACAAAGAACTTTATACCAATGGCCAGGAGGTGTCATTGAGTAGTCCTTAACCAAGAGATGTTTGGATACCTGCAGATATGGAAACATTTGCAGGTCTTCAAACTCTGAACTTTTATCAGAATAAAATATAATTAAAGAGAAAAATTGTTTTATGGAGGGTAGTCCGTACTATTGATTTGAATGTGACATTCATTTTCTGCCGATTTAGTTCTGTTCTTTGTTCCTTATTCCTCAAATGAAGGATGCAACTGCAAAGATCATGCTGACTATGGTATATGTCAGCAGTCACCAACTGGTGGTCTGTGAGAAAATGTTGGTGGTCCGCAGAAAAATTATTTGCATTTTTTATATTGCACTAAATCAGGGGTCCTCAAACTATGACCCCTGGGCTGGATATGTGCAATGAACGTTGGTGTTGCTGCAGAGAGTCTCCCCCTTCGGGGTCTTCTTGTATGGGTCAGAGGGGGGCAGAAATTCCGACTTGGGGTCTGCTTCAGCCTCCTAGTGTGGGGCTTTGGGTGAAGGCTGGAGGAAGTGCTGCTGGTGGCAAAGAGCCGGAGGGCCTTGTTCCAGTGGGACTGCATCATGGCCTGGAACTGACTGACCATCTCAGCCCACTGAGCCTCCAAGCACCGGTACCTGACCTTGCACTCCCGCAGGTCTTCCCTCTGCTTGGAAAGCCTATGCTCGTAGTCCTCAGTGAGGTGCTTCTGCTGAGCCTCCTTCTCGGCCAGATCCAATTTGAACTGAGCTGTTTTGCCAACTCTTTCTCATGGTGGCTGTTTAGCTCCAACAACTGCTTCCTGTTGGGGCCCTACAGAGCCTGGGTGGGGAGGCAAGGAGTGGCTGGGAGAGGAGGGGCAAGTAGAGGCCGGCAAGGCGCCCCCTCAACGTGAGTGACATTGAATTGACTACACCCACCCAGTCACATGACCATCTAGTCACACCCACCCAACCAGTCATTTGGCAAATCATATTAGTGGTCCATGGGATTTAAAATTATGAATTTAGTGGTCCCTGAGGTCTGAAAGGTTGGCGACCCATGGTATATGTAACTGAGTTCTCTTCAGATTTCAGCCAAGGACCTGAATTTTCATTTTGGTTTTAGATGCTAGGCAGGTAAATGTGATCTGCCCAGTTCTAAAACTAAAATGAAAACTCAGGCATTTGATTGAACTGGTTGGTCACCCGAGGTGATCCAAGAAGTCTTCCTACATGTGTGAGTTGGCAACCACAAGTCTTCAAATTTCTTCTCATTGAAATTCAGGAAACAAATATTGTAACATCTCTTGGGTACGTGTTAAAACTCACATATTCATCCTGAACTTTCCTGGTATGAATATTAGAAAAACAGGTTTCCCACCCCCACCCTAATAGCCTCTCATCTTTTTAAAGAATGGGTTTTATTTTACAGTTGTTTTTATGACAAAGCATATCAAGATGCTTCAGCATTGGAAGCATTATGCAAATATATTAAATTGAATCAACAATAAATAGTCGGCACATGCCAAAGGGCATGGCTTCAATCGTGGTACCACACCTGCCATGTTGCAGATTTGATTCCTGCCTCCCATTCCTCACTGAGCTGGAAAAATAAGGTGTAAGAAAGGGATATAAAAACCTACAAGAAAGCCAGTGATGTTTGCAACGAATGTACCTGCAGAATGAATAATGCCGTGCCGAGCCACATCGTAGTATGGATGAGTGAGGCTTATTCCAAATTCTCGGCTTGACTGCGCTGCAGAAAAGCTCCTGATTTCTCCCATTGCTGTATTTTCAGTTTCATCTTTCTGCAGTTCTGAAATAAACCGAAATTGAAACTCATTTTTTGGGGGGGAACAAGACAAAAATGACTGTTAATCCAATAATCTGCAGCTGTCCATTAAGTACAATATTTTAGCATACTTGTCTACTTCCTTACAGCTGTTGACGAGCTTAGATTATGAGATTACTGTCTTTTTTAGTGAGAAAATAATCACAATTTCAACTCCTTCTCCTGTTAAAATTTGAAAAAAATATAAATATATATAATATCTGGTTTACTGTTACAGCACCACCTTGAGGTCAAACGAGAAATGGCCAGACTGGATTATTACATCCTCCCATTCAGTGATGGGATGCTGCCAGTTTAACAACTGGTTCGGTGAGCGCACCTAAGCTGCTTGTGCACAGCGCTGAAAATGGAGTATTTAGAAGCTCAGCTGCTTACCTTCCAAGTCAGCAATGGTAAATAGAACAGCGAGGAGGGGGGGGGAAATCAGCTGTGCCGCGTGATTGAAATGAGCTACAAAGCAGGAAATAAACGACAGGATAGAGCGGGGGGCGGGTGGGCGGGGCCAACTGATCATCGGAGCTACCGGTTTGTCTGAATCGGTCCGAACAGGCTGAATACCACCCCTATTCCCCGTCCTAAAAGGGCTGACAGGACATCGGTTTTCCCAAAAGCAAAAGTCAGCAATCCATGATGGATTCCAGGCTTCCTTTCAACTTCTTTCTTCTCTCCACATAAGACTCGTTTTCAGAGAGGAAAGAGGACGCACATCAAACATTGAAGAGTCCCTCAACACAGGTAGTCCTCGACTTATGACAGTTCATTTAGTGATTGTTCAAAGTTACAGCGGCACTGAAAAAGCGACTTATGACCATGTTTCACACTTTATGAATGTTGCAGCCTCCCCATGGTCAGTGGATCAGAATTAAAATGCTTGGCACCTGGTTCATATTTATGACGGTGGCAGGTCTCGTGACCCCCCTTTTGTGACTTTCTGACAAGCAAAGCCAAGAGCGAAACCAGATTCCTTTAACAACCATGTTACTAGCTTAACAATGGCATTGATTCACTTAAGAGCTGTGGCAAGAAAGGTCGTAAAACAGGGCAAAACCCAGTTAACAAATGTCTTGCTTTGCAACGTAAATTTTGGGCTCAATGGTGGTCATAAATCGAGGACTACCTGTACTCCCTTGACTCGTGATGACATCACAGTAGATTCTTTTAGTTTTCTTGACTGTTGCTTTCTTTTATTTTGCTTCTCATCTTGCAGACCAAACTGTTAGTTTTTTTAGCCCCTCAGGGGTGAAATCCTCTGAAGTCTGCTACCGGTTCTGTGAGTCTGCTACCGAGCGCGCGCTTTGTCTGAGGCACGCCCGCGCAGCGCTAAAAACATTTTGAAGCCTTTCGAGTCTGCAAAGGTAAATAGAACAGCGAGGAGGGGGAAATCCGCTGCGCCACGCGATTTAGATTAACTGGAAAGCAGGAAATCTAATATAAGTCACACGTCACAGCTGATCGTCACCCAGCTGATGATCAGAAATACCAGTTTGCCCGAACCGGTAGCATTTTTTACTACGGTTTGCCCGAACTGGTAGTATTTCACCCCTGTAGGCCCTGCTCTTTTTTTGTTCTCCAAAGCAGGCCTTCCCCCTCAGACAAGAAAAGTGAATTATGGTAGCTATCTCATGTGGTTTGGTCCCCAATACAGTATTTTGGGTACTGAAAACATTAAGAAGACTATTTTCTGGCTCCAGGGCTATTTAACTATCTCCCTTGTTACAAATCACATTGCAGCTAGAGGGGATTCTGCAGGAGGGTCAAAAAAGTCAATATGGTGGCTTCAATCATGCAGTCAGAGCATCCATTTTGCCCTTTTTTTTTTCCAGTCTCTTCCCAGATGCCCCTGAATAGAAATAAGAAATATAATGTATGGAAAGCTTAAAGGTATAATACCCTGCTTAAAGATTCAGAACAGCATACTTTTAATAATGAGAAAGATTAAATTCTTATTGAAGTCGGAATACGTTTTATAACTGCTGAGTGAAGTTTTAATGGAAAAGTTAAGGTTGAAGAAAATCTACTTCAATTTGTTTTAAGACTGGTTTGGCCATCATTTATGAAGGAGAATATAAAATCCCTTCTTAATTATTTGGCTGAATTACTCATATGTTAAGAACATGAACAGGATTTTGTTGGATAAAATCTGGATCAAAGATACCAATAGTTTTGGGGTACCACAAGCAATTGTTTTTCTCATTAAACCATTGGAATTCACCTTCACTCATTTTTTCATGCATGTCTTTTTAAATGTTCAGTAACGCTTTTTTTAGAAGTCAAAAGTCTGCATCATTACACGCTAACAGCAATTTTTCAAAATAATGGGCCATTCAGCATGCTAAATTCACCCTAATGCCACCCAAAGTAATTGAGAAGGTGGCACCTCCAGCTTGCTGGAGTTCCTGTTTAAAGTAATTATTCCATTTGCACCACAATTTAGGATGAGAGCAATATTATTTCCTACAAATTCACAGGACGTGCATACCAATATTTCATATACACTCTGCCCATCAAACTAAATTTCAGCCCAAATAGCTTTTGATAATATGGTCATTGCCGAGTTTGTTAATTCAAATATAATACACAATCCCATCAAACTATTTTTTTTGATGTTCCAAATCACCCAGAAGTTACCACTCGATGGCCCCAAATATATAGATATATTGCTATATTTACCTATTTCTGCTAACTTTTCAAAATCACTTGCAGACATCCTTCGGGTGAACAAAATCCGTTTATCAGGTTAGTATTTGACTGATGCTCCTATAATGCTCGATCAGACCTAAATACAGACAAAAGTGAGTATCTAAATTTCAGAATGTCTCTTGCCATTATTTGAATCATGCCCTGCTTTTTCCTTTTCCAGTTGTGCTAAGAGATTCCTTGTGGAATTCTGGTTTTTCAGAAATACAGCTTAAAGGAGCAGAAAGAAGTGGCACCTTGGTGGCTGCTAATATTCTATGATCTGTGAATAAAGCATCTTTCCAGTTTCACTAGCGATGTCAGGGTTCCAAGTAACACCCCTAACCCTAACCCTAACCCTAACCCTAACCCTAACCCTAACCCTAACGAAAGAAAACTCCGAGGCTTGAGTTTCTCAAAGTTACATTTTATTAGAGATATCATATTGGCACATCTGGGAAAACCCAAATCTGAATGTTTCCAGGTTTTCCCCACCAAAGTGAAAGTTCAAGTTCCTGCCCAGCACCCACAAGTCCATCACATGGTCTAATCATCCACCGTCCAAACTAGAAACACCTCCTAGTCATCCAACTCCAGGTGCCAGGGCAAGATGTCCTTGACTCTTTGAGAAAGGAATGTTATTATGACTACCGTGTTTCCCCGAAAATAAGACCCTGTCTTATATTTTTTTGAATCCTGAAATAAGCACTTGGCCTTATTGCCATGCGCTCAAAAGCCCGATTGGGCTTATTATCAGGGAATGTCTTATTTGGGGGGAAACAGGGTATATATCTCCCATATTCCATACAATCCTCCTTCCCATTTTCCCACAGTAGAAAAATGTGGCAGGCTTGAAGGCCCAACATAAAAGATGGCTTCCAGGCCTGACAAGCAAGTTAATTCACAGAACATTACGTATGCAGGTACATCCACTATCCAGAAGTGGTTTGTATGGAACCATAAAACCTTCACTTTTGCATTCGTAAGGTCAGAGGCCACAGAGCAGTGAGGGTCAAATTCAGCTGATAAAGATGGTGTGATGCTTAGTTCAAGGGGGAAATTTGAAGAGGGGCGACACCAAGGAGAGCAGGTTCCTCCTGAGGTGTATTGCTGGCTATCCTCAAGATAAACACAGGGGATGGAATGTCACTGCGTTTTTGTATTTACCAGATGAGCTCTTATTTTTGGACTTTCAGACTTACCGTAGCTTGCCAAGTTCTTATCTCTAAGCTAACTGCGCATGTCCACATTCTATCACTTTCTTCTATCTTCCTTTGTTCTCCGGCCAGGAGAGGTGGCCGGGAAAGCTTTGCCAAGATGTAACTAATTAGATCAGTAAGATGTTTTATTTTCTTTATAACAAATAAATGAATTTTTCTTAGAAAATATATCTTCGGGTTTATTTTCTTAAAGTATATTTTAAGGGAAGGTTACGATCCATTCTCTAAATCAAGGTGCAATTACCCAAAAGCAGAATGGGATTAATTGCCACCCTGACATGGAAAAATTATGGTGTGTTTATCCAGAAGGAAAAGAAAAAACAATTTAGAGCAATCAGTGTCTACGTCAAGATTGTCCTCAAAACTTTTAGGTTGTATTGCCAACTGACAGCTGGTTTGGAAGGACAGCTAAAGAAAACAGCAGAAATAACCGAAGATGAGTGGTAGACCTCCAGAAGATTACTAAAATACAGGTATCATGGAGATGAAAGACTAACATTATGTATCTCAATATTTCATGGTGAATTGGTCGATATTTTTCACAATTGCATTATGATGGGAATGTTTTATCTATATGGCAGAAAGAAATTGTAGCGTAACAAGCCTTAAAATTTTATGTTTTGAGATCTTGGAAACGGCAAGAATCCAGCAGATGGGTGTAGATATATGTGGATAAGGAAACTTGATATATTTCACATTAACTATGGAAAGAGAGAGATGGAGGTATAGCTACAACAACCCCCAATCAAAACTCCATCAACTTTCCACATTTCTGGAGTTCTAGTGTAGCCTTCTCACCTTCAGTAACTTTAAGATGAATGAACTTCAGTTCTCAGAATTCCCCTGCTGGAGAAGTCTACCGTATGTCTTAAAAGTTGTCGAGGTTGAGAAATATTGCTCTAGCGAACAGTACACGAAATATTTAGAGCTATGTGTCTGTATATGTGCAACACATCAGGAAGATATAACAAGGTAGACAGACCTGACAGCACAATTGTGGATTTAATTATTCCCACAATTAGATATACTTAACTTTCATTCATTGCAAAAGATCTGACAGCAGATTTACTTGACAAAATTAATTCTGGTTGTCAGCCAAACTCAATGTTACAAATCATAGGTTAAGCAGTTCCTTGTGGAAAGAAATTAGGTTAATATGTGCCATGTATCTAATTGTAAACTATCCTGATGGAGTTTATTTTTGAGAGGGATGACAAATAAGATCACATCTAACCACCATAAAGGAACTGTCTAAATCAGTGCTTTTCAAACTTGGCAACTTTAAGATGTATTGACTTCAGTTCCCTGAGTATGCTCATCTAGGGAATGCTGGGAGTTGAAGTCCACTTACTTTAAAGTTGCCAAGTTTGAAAAACACTAATCTAAACACGCAAATTGTTTAGTGCAATCAGATCTTAACGTGCTGTCCACATTGGAACAATCAACCAAGACTGGAGAACGCACGAATCAAACTTTACCCCTACAGTGCAGGGGTGAAATCTACTCACCTTCCCTACTGGTTCAGAAGTATATGCGCTGCATGCACACACTCGCTCCGCTTGCGCACACATGCATCACATGCACGCACAGACTCTCTTCGCATGCGCAAACCGTTCTGTGCATGTGCAGAGGGTAAAAAACAGGTTACTTCCTAGTTAAAACCAGGAAGTAACAACGACCGGGCGGGTGGGCGGAGCCTCATGCTACCGTTGCTACCGGTTCTCCGAACTACCCGCCGCCATCAATACCGGTTCGGCCGAACTGGTCCGAACCGGTAGCATTTCACCCCTTCTACAATGGGATCCAAGGAGGAGGCTAATTGTACTTATGATACAGGTAGTCCTCGAGTTATGACCAAAATTGAGCCAAAAATTTCTTTTGCTAATGGTGGTATTCAGCCGGTTTGGACCGATTTGGTCGAACCAGTAGTGGCGATTCGCCCACCCGCCCCAGCGCTATGCCATCCTATTTAGCCACGTTTTCTAAGCCACATGCATGCGTGCAAGCCACGCCTGCTAGCAAAGCGCACGCGTGGAAGGCCGGGCGCATGCACAGAAGGCACGCACGCACATTTTCAGTGCATGGCAAACCAGTGGTAAAATTATGTGACACTCACCTCTGTTGTTAAGTGAGACATTTCTTAAGTGATTTTTGCTCCATTTTATCTTGCTTGCCACAGCTTTTAAGTGACCCATTCCATCAGTTGTTAATTGAGTCACATGATTGTTAAGTGAATCTGGCTTCCCCATTAACTTTGTGTGTCAGAAAGTCGCAAAAGGGGATCACATGACCCTGGGACACTGCCACCGTCATAAATATGAGTCAACTGCCCAAGCATATCAATTTTGATCATTTGACCATGGGGATACTACAACGATTGTGTGAAAAATGGTTGTAAATCACTTTTTTCAATACTGTTCTAACTTTGAACAGTCACTGAATGAACTGTTATAAGTTGAGGACTACCTGTACAACCTTAGTAGGATCCTCTTGATAACTGTGTCTTGATCAGGAGGGGGGTATTTTTATTATTTTATTTACATCGTCGCCACAATGTAAAATAAGATGTGGAGACTATAGAAAGAGTGCAGAGAAGAGCAAGGAAGATGATTAGGGGAGGACTGGAGGCTAAAACATATGAAGAACGGTTGCAGGAACTGGGTATGTCTAGTTTCATGAAGAGAAGGACTAGGGGAGACGTGATAGCAGTGTTCCAATATCTCAGGGGTTGCCACAAAGAAGAGGGAGTCAAGCTATTCTCCAAAGCACCTGAGGGCAGGACAAGAAGCAATGGGTGGAAACTAATCAAGGAGAGAAGCAACTTAAAACTAAGGAGAGAATTTCCTGACAGAACAATTAACCGGTGGAACAACTTGCCTCCAGAAGTTGTGAATGCTCCAACGCTGGAAGTTTCTAAGAAGATGTTGCATAACCATTTGTCTGAAGTGGTGTAGTATTTCCTGCCTAAGCAGGGGGTTGGACTAGAAGACCTCCAAGGTCCCTTCCAACTCTGTTATTCTATTCTATTCTATTCTATTCTATTCTTTATTTCAGGGTTTCCCAACCTTGGCAACTTTAAGACTTGTAGACTTAACTCCTTGCCCTGCTTTATTTTTATTTTTTTTTACAAACGCCTGTTTTTTAATCCTAGATTCCATCACAAACTTCATCTTTGCCCAGTAAGTTATGTGAAAGGAATTCCTTTGCAAGATTTAATTTTAAATTATAAAACAAACACAGTCAAGATGGTCTTTCAAAGTGAAAGCAGGAAAAACATTAAAAAAAAACACACCAAACCCTGTGTACTTCTTTGGTGCCCTTCAGGGGTTACTAAGTCCAGATAAGAAAAAAACCCTAAAAGAACAGTACATTCTTCTTAGTAATAATTCTGATAAAATCTCTTTTTGCAAGTACATTCAGAGCAGATAAGAATCCTTGTGCACGTGGAATAAACCCATGCTTGCTCTTATAATAAATGCTGGCTTTCCAATTCAGCTTCTTGGTGTGAATTCCGACTCTGAGTTTGCATTTTGATGTTTTTTTAATACGTCTTTAGGTTTCACATGACCTAAGTGCAGCCAATTTTTATGCGGTGTCATGATTTGGGAGTGTGCCAGTAGTTCAAACTACAATCAGACATTGATTGTGGATTGGAAACCTTTACGGACTCTTTGTATGGACTTTTTGCATAAGACGGAAATCAATGCATTTATAATTGATTGCTTTGATGATTAGACAAGATCGATTATAGAGTCACAATGTAACTTTAGAGAAAGGGGTAAATTTATAATTGTTCCTATAACTGCTGTAAACAAGATTGGATACATTTCTTTTTACACTTCCCCTTCTCTTTTCTTTTCTTTCTTTCTTCTTTTTTTCCTTCTTATTCTCTTTGAGTTAATTCTTACTCTTGTTTTTAACTGTTTACCCTTACTCTTATTTGAAATTGTTTT